GCAGACCAGCAGGTATCATGTGAGTCAAGTTCTACAAGAACTATAAGAGAGAAAACCACTGCTGAGCAAAAAGAAAATTAAGGCTTGTCTCATTTTCACTACACACATCTTGATGATCCCTAGGACTCACTGGAAAATACTCAGTGGAGTTACAAGACACAATTTAAAATGTGTAATGTATAGGTGTCCAATTTCACATGGAATAAAAGTAACAGGGCATTTCTCCTCAAAAGAAAAACAGTGTTGATGTAGTGTTGATTTCTTAGGCAGCACTGCTGCTTCAGGACTCAAAGGATTTAAAGTGATAAATGGAACCATGAATTCTGCTGTCTACCAGCAAATCCTAAAGGACAATGTCAAGCTATCTGTTTGTGACCTCAAGCTGAAACGCACTATGGTCCTGTAGCAGGAAAATGACCCAAAACACAGCAGCAAGTCCACCTCTGACTTTCAGGGTGGCCTAGTCAAAGTACTGATCTGAATCCTATTGAGATGCAGTGGTATGGCTTTAAAAAAGCAGGTATTGCTCAAAAATCCTCCAGCGAGGCTAAATTACAATTCTGCAAAAACGAGTGGGTCAGAATTCCTCCACAGCACTGCAGGAGACATTGCAAGCAACCACAAATGTTGGATTGCAGCTGCTGCTCCTGAGGGTGACTCGAATGGGGGGGCGAACACTGGGACACATAGGTTTTGTATATCAATTTTAAAACTATACAGTATTTATGACAAACATTTGCTTAAAGTTCTGAAACACTGTAAGTGTGACAAACTTGAAAAAAATATATGAAATTAAGAAGGAGCAAACACTTTTTTACTTGAGGGAAAATCCCAGTCCCTGCTATTATTATTTTGAGAGGCCACAGGCTGAATGTTTAAAATGTCTGCTGTAGACAGGCTACACTTAATCCAAAATGAAAATGTTTATAGGAACTAAGCAATGCACACAATTAGTAAACGTTAATACAACTATAAATGAAATAATATTTATGGATGAATTATCTATTGCACCTTTGCACATAGGAAAGCAGATTATTTGGAAATACAGCATTTATGTTAGCATATTACTGATAGTCATGGGCATGTTTTGAGTAACCAGTTAAAATGCTTTACAGAATGCAGGCTCTCTCTAAACGTGTTTTTTTTAATGCAGAAATTCTTAAGGATTTTCGTTTGGAAAACCCAGTAGCAAACAAAAAGCAAAAACACATCAAATGAAAAAGTCTAATTTTATCTCTACTAATTTATTCCAACATTTAGGCAAATATGCTAATTTCAGTTTTATCTAGGGGCTGATTTACTGCCCTTTTCTGCCTTTAGGCAATAATATTTTCGGATGTCAGAATTGTTTTAGTTCTGTTCATAATTTCCTGGTTGTTTTATCTGGACTGATTGCTGGTCTTTTTGGAGAACCTCTTAGTCATCAAGAGACAGAACTGGTGGAAAACTTTCTTTTTTTATTAATTTTTTTTGCAGGTGTCACTCACCCCAATCTGAAACGATGCAGTGAAGTAATCCAAATTGGCCTGAAGAAAGCCGATGTTCTTCAGGCCGAGCTCAGTGCTGCGGCGTTGGGCTCTAACCAGAGACTCCTCTTTGTTCTCTATAAGGATGATCTTAAACAAAAACAGGGGAATTTAAAATTTTTTATTTTCAATAAGAGCTGGACTCAACAGTAAATCAGTCAGAGAATTAGGAAAAGATAAATCAATTAATAACAATATTTTAAATACACAGAAGATCAAGTCCTAAGAAAGTGAAAGAAAACATGCTGTAAACAACTACCGTATTACCCAGACTATAAGCCGCTACTTTTTTTCCACACTTTGAACGATGCAGCTTATAAGAAGATTTTAGATTTTTCCTAACCACCAGAGGGGGAAGTCAAAGTTGAAAATCAAAGAAGACGGGGCTAATTTTCATTTAGCACAAGAACATGCTAGCAGTAGGCGCGACGGAATTCATACATTTTGACATTTATTTGCAGCATTAAAGCTGCTGAACCAATGAAGAGGTGTCCTGAAGAAAGCAGCTGGAACACTACTTTATAATTCTCGCATTTTAATGCAACCTGCAAAGGTTTCTGGAGCAATATGAAATTTCATTCTAGTTTTATCCACACATGATATACTAGAACCAAACTTTAATGTTTAAAATCATAAACAAGTTGCTTCAAAATAGAGAGAAAACAGTCTGTTAGCCTAGGAACTTGAGCACATAAAAATGAATGTAATTGAAGCAGGTAGATGTACATGCAAAATCACTATGTTTTAAAATAAAAACCTTGAGAAACTTGTATTGAGAGAAAATATCTATAAAAGAGACAGCACTGTGTCCTGATCACTAACTTAGACCGAATAATTACTAAGTGCCATTTGCTTGAAACTAA